CTACTACTACTACTGCTACTACTTTTACTACTCCCACTACTCCTACTACTCCTGCTACTCCTCCTTCTCCTATACTACTCCTACTACTCCAACTACTCCTACTACTCCTACTGCCTCTACTTCTCCTACTGCTCCTACTGCTCCTACTGCTCATACTCCTACAACTACTGTTTGCTCCTACTACTGCCATGGCCTCTCCTGTTCATACTCAGTCTCCCCACTTGCAAGGCTTCCCATGCCTCCTCCTCCTCCTCTCCAAAGCTTCCTCTGCTTCTTCACCCGCCCGATGGCCTGACCCGCCCTCCCCCCCCCTCTGCACTACCCTCCATAATCGATATTTTTGTGAGCAAGGATGCCGAAGCAGACATTTGCATTGCCAAGTTCAGTGGCCGCCGGGCTGAATCCTGGAGTTGAGGTTAAGGGTCGGCTTGTGGTTGATGGCCCAGGGTGTTTGACTCTCGGGCTAGGGTGACGAAGCACTTAGCGCAGTTTTGAGTTTTGCTCTAGGATTCATAAACAAGTTGCGCAGCAGATTTGATGGACCATCTCCGAACTCACGCAGCACCCCGATACAGCGACACTCACGAATGAAGTTCCGGCACCGCGATGATCTTGTGCCTCGTCGACAGCAAGCGCTAGACCACACTCCCTGGATGCGGCAACCTAGACCCTAAACCCTCAACCTGAAACCCTAAACCCTAAACCCTAAAACCGAAATCCCAGCCAGGATCGGTGCTGAACAGCTGTCCACAGGCCTGCACACCGACGCAGGACTGCCAAGCTACTCCGGGGTTTCGGCGCGTTGGGGTTCCGGGTGTTGCGGCCGGTGCCCTGTCCTCGTTTTCACAATATGTTATGCCAGTATATTATACTACAGTATATTCTGTTATATCATAGCTGCCTGCATGCTATAGCACATATATACATATATGTGTATATATACATATATAAGTGTATATATATATATATATATCAGAGCCTCTCAGTCGATTGAATCATATGACCGCAAAGCTGGACCCTCATCCCGAGCCTGGTTTCCCTTGGTAGTATTAGAGAGACCCCTTTAAAGGGGACCCTTCTAAAGCCTACTTAGTACTACTTCTGGCTCTCCAGAAAGGGACCTCAGGAGGAGAGGGCCTATGTCCCCAAGGGGCCCCCCCCGGGCTTCAGCTGACTCGTCAGATAATTCCTGCATAACTTTTCAGGGGCGCCTTTAAGGGGTTCTATAAGGGTACTTTTTTAAGAGTCCCGTAAAAATCAAAGTAGTATGAGCGCAGAAAGGGCGATCTACTTTCGGATTGCAGCGGCAATAAATGCAGGAGAGGTGTATACAGTATACTGTTCCCAGACTCTGCACCGAAGCCGTACACAAGTAGGGGCCTTAAGAATCAGAGTAGGGTTTGGGGGTATAGGATACGATATTTTATATTAAGGAACCCCCGCAACGTTACTTTAATTAAGGCACCTAAACCCGAAACCCTTATAGTAGCCCCTTATAGCAACCCTGATAGTAGCCTAAAGGAACCCTATTCCAATTCGTAAGGCTCCTAAGCCCAAACCCTAAACCCTACACCCTAAACCCTAAATCCCTAAACCCTAAACCCCTAAACCCTAAACCCTAAACCATAAATCCCTAAATCCCTAAACCCTAA